AAAATTTGATCTGTACTAAAAAGAAAATGGGGTCCGACCGCAATGTTCGACGAACGCTCTGAGAGCTGATGGGCCCGTCATCCATTTCGCGTCCATGGGGGCCTGCTGGAGGTTGATGGGTAACATTGTGATTGCTTGGTCGTGGCTTCCCTTCGTTTCAAAACTTACACTTCGCGACACTTCCCTTCAGCAAGAGATGAAGACAAGAATGATGATGGATTATAGGATTTCATGTTAAAAAATTGGGCAAGGCTTGACTATTTCTGTTGTAGGCTTTCAAAAAAAAGGGGGAACGGTTTCTTACCCTGCCGGCAGTCCACGTTGGGCAGGGAGCGCGCAAAATCACTTTACGACAGTCTTGGTGACGCAGGCCACCCCATGGCGCCACCAGGGCCCAGAGCCCCGCACTGTAGGGGGAAGCCGGGTGCCAGCAAAATTCGCCACTTGGAGAACTTTGTGGCGCCAGGTTTGCGACATCGCACAGTGCCAGACCCAGCCGCGCCTTGCTGGGACACAGTGTTATCTTCATCGGTCTTGGGGCGTGCGTTGCCGCGTCATCAGCAACATCATTAGCCCCAAGTTGCTGCTGTGTGGAAATGTGGAAGAGAATCCCGGCCATATCTTGAGGGACATGCAATGGCACCCAGCTGGGCTAACGCAGGCCAAACCCCTGGCGTTGGCAAAACGGCTTTACGATGATAATGCCGCGTTTCGCCTGTTGGGTGGAACAAAAATGCCCCCACCCCTGAAGCAACTAGTTTTGGGCCCCCTGGGTACCAACATTATGGGATAGCTCGCGCCTGCTGTGGTGGTGGTGGTGGTGGCGTGCGAATCCTCGCAAGGGGGGGATGCAGGTAGAGACAGGACCGGCGCTTGTGGCAGGCATTGGGCTTGCACCAGTTACCATCCATCTGGATGCAGGTATGAAGCTGATGATTTCATCAGCACACCTTCCTCCTGTTGCCATCAAAAGCACTCCAGAGGACCCCGATCGACTCAACAACACGGGCAGGACCCAGCCCATTAGCGCAGACACGAATGGGCAAGCATTGGCATGCGACCACGAAGCCCCACCTGACTCCAGAGGCGGGACCTTTGCGCAATGGTACATTGGCAATGAATTTCTTGTTGGCAGCACTGCAAACCGCGCACGGCATACCGATAGGCATAGGGGCTCTGCGCCAGATGTAGAACTGACAAAGAAATGCATAGTGGAATATTGGGCAGCGCGACCCACCCCTGGCAGCGACTAGCAAACCATCGCTTATACTGCCAAGGTGTGAGAGGACGACACTCCACTAGAAGTGCCGAAGATCTACAAGACATTGCTTGTATGGAAGAAAGCAAACTGGTCGAAGTTCCGCAAACTGACCAACTCCCACTGCAGGCCAAAACAAGTCATGAACCGCATAGACACCACAGAGAAGCACATCACCTCTGGCATACGGCTCGCCACAATGTCACCAGTGCTGGAGGGCAATCGATGCCAGTCCCCGTTCTGGACCCCCGAGCTGGCTGACCTGGATAAAGCAATTGCCAGCAAGCCCCACGCTCAATCCAGCCAGCGGCCAAAGATTCGACGCAGAGAAATTTGCCACGCAGCTGCCACTAACCGGTGGCGAACGCTCTGCTCAAACATTGAAGACCCTGAAGGCAGCAGCTGGCAGAACATAAGGCTTGTATTCACCCCTCGCTCCCTCAGCACGTCCGCCGTCAAAGCAGATGGGGTTGTGCTTTCACACCACCAAAAGGCCAACCACCTGGCCCGCATGTACGCTGCAATAGCGCGGAGACACCCACGATCCTACTCCCCACCTCCGATCACAACAAGGGATGAGGACTTTCAACCAATAACAATGGCTGAACTCGATCGTGCGCTGCGTCTCTTGCCGCTAGGATCAGCACCGGGGCCCGACATGATCCATGGTGAGGCACTGCGACACCTTGGGAAATGCGCGAAACACTCTGCCCTGACGCTCTTTAATAAGAGCCCGCGCACTGGCATCGTTCCAAAGAGCTGGAGGCACGGAGTCATAATCCCACCCCTCAAACTGTGCAAGAAAGCGACACGAACCAGAGCCATACAGACCAGTCACGCTCACATGTTGCCTCTGGAAACTCATGGAGCGCATCATAGCAGCACGCATTCGCGATGTTATAGAGCCAAAGCTCACACTACAGCAGTCCGGATTCCGACCAGCCCACTCCACACTAGACCAACTATTGCACCTTCGAGCAACAATGCATCGACCGACTCCCAAAGACAGAACGGCCGCAGTGTTTGTGGATTACGCCAAGGCCTTCGACACAGTCGACAATGATACAATCATACTTGAAATGCGACGGCTGGGTGTACCACAACATATAGTGGGATGGTCAGCATCCTTTCTGGGCAATAGGACGGCAGTAGTTCGCGTAAACAAGGTGCTCTCCTCTCCGGTGTAATTCTCGCAAGGTGCTCCACAAGGCACGGTTTTGGGGCCACTCATGTTTATTATTGTCATGAATTCTCCCAGCATCTGGTTAGCTGAAGTCCCGCTATTACGGTGCGGCTTCTTTGAGGATGACCTTGCCCCTATTGCTCGGCGCAGCAACCGGGAGACCATGACCACCACCCCACAACAGGGACTAAGCGTGGCAGCATCCTAGACAGAAAAATGCTTCATGGAAGTTAATGCGACCAAAAGGAAGCATGCATTCTTCAGGGCCAAAAGTGTGAACCACCTGGCCCCCCCCTACAATGGCACGCCGGTCACCATGGAACGGCCCCCGGCCCCTGCTGAGAATCGCACTCCAGAAATGCCGCTGAATGGGACCCCCTGCGGCACGTTTGCAGAAGCAGATCAACCAGCGGCTCATGCAGATAGTGGTCGTCTCATCCTGGAGATGGGGACCAAAACGGGGCACGTTGCATGCTTTCAGCTTGGCCTTTGCGCAAGCCAAATCAATGCGCAGCATAGGGATATAGTGCTGAGACGCATCCGCCGCATCGCGTTCCGCACTTGGTGCCGGGCAATATAACCTCTGTAAAATAATTGCCGACATCCCAAAAGGCAGCGCACAGCAGATGACTTATTTGAGGCCAGCCTGTAACCACTAAGTGAGATGGTGCTAATCCGTCGCCTCAAATATATGCTCCTCTGCGAAGCGCGACGGAGAGCCGTGCGCGATAGCTTCAATGTGATATACCCGACCAACCACCCCACACGACAATTTTCTACCACCACCATAGCGCAATACCCAGAACTTCATATTGAAGGCACGATCCTGCCCCTACCACCCCCAAGCTGCAACAGGCATCTCCAACCCTTGTCCATACATCGATCGAATGTCTCACCTCTGATGGCCTGGATGGCGTCAAGCGTCAAACATGCAGAAGATGAATTGCCCAACACTTCAGCCGGAAAGGTTCTACACCACCAGAGCGACTACACTACGAACTATGGGCAGACGGCTCTGCCAAACTAGGGGTGAGATATGGCGTAACAGCCATCATTTGCCGCAACAGAAGCCCATTGTCCAAGCAAAAGCGGGTGCAGGATGAACAGCGTGTAGCTACCCGACTGAATCTGTCGCGTCGAAAGTTGGCCTGAAGAAATTGTTGGACACCATTTCACGCCGCAGCACTCGACTTTGTAGGGCTTTCTTCTTCACGGACCCTTTTCCACCCCCCATAGCACTCCAAACAGGCCCACTGACAGTAACAGGTCCAATCTTGCGCACACTATGGGATTTGCTATTGGACGCGCGGGGTCGAACAGGACGCATGCGGCTACAATTTGTACTTGACCACTGTGGCGTTGCAAAGAATGAGGCATGCGACAAGGAAGCTAGGACGGCCGCTGACCCACCACAGCACACGGGCACGTGGATACCGGATGCGGTTGCGCTGGCAAAACGCCACATACACAGCCAGCTGCCCAAACCATCCGCCCACCGCCACAGCATCAAAGGCCTTTGGAACCCCAAACGCAATGATCCCAGCTTAACTCCGGCAGGAGGAAGCCCTAGCTCATTTTCGCATTGGTATATCCTACCACTACGGCTTGCTACTGCGAGCATTGCAGCCCACAAAGCCAAATGCATGCAGGTGGTATAATCCAATAGAACCTCCCCCCCAAAGACCCAGATGCACAACGCCGGGCACGGCAGCCGATCCCAACCCCGATCGCAAAGAAACGACGAGGAGAATTCGCTTGTAATTCACGCGCGGCGTTATATAAAACCCAAGGAGGGAAGGGGATAACGCAGCGTTTTAGCCTCTTCAGCGCCACACAGCGCCAAAACGTAGAAAGTAAACGGGTGCGGGGGATGGAAGGGAAGGCCAAACACTAGCCTTCT